CAAAACCAATTAGCGTACTATAAAAAATTGAAAATTTTAATTTAAACAAATTAATTTTTAACTGAAAGTACCTCACCAACAGTTGTTGGCAAAAAACGCTGTAAATACAAAAATTTATTTACACAATTCACTAAAAAAGCTTTAAAAAGAGCAAAAGCAAAAAAACTGTACCAAAATGTTGCCAGGCATTGGAGTTGAACGACCAGATGGTGCACGTTCCTGATTACGTTCACGTTCACTGTTGAAGAAATGATTACTTTTTTCTGTTTCCCGAAGAAATTGAGCCCGTCGAGCTGCTAAATTTTCTCCACTAAATCTTCTTCCACTTTTTGGAAAATCTGTTGATTCTTGTAACATTTCTAAGCGTTGAGCTGCACTAAGACGGTGCGATGAACGATTCTGCGTTGAAGTACCTGAAATTTCCAAATATATTCCTTGATCGTTCAAAAAGCACCCAATCAATGATGAAATGACCATAGTTTGCTCTTTTACCTGCATGACTTTTGATAATTTCTGTCCAGAAGTTGCCAATATCATGTTTGCTGTGTAATTCCGGAGCTTCAGAAGCTCGTCGCTCAATAGCACTGGACAGAATCGATGATGAGCTTCTGAGGCAAAAAAAGTAAAAAATTTTCACCAGTGCTGTTAAAAAAACAGCAAAAAGTTCAAAGAGCATTAGCAACTGTTTGTTGGGAAAACGCCGCCAATAACTGAACGTTTTTTTTTTAAATTCATGCACTAAAGCCATTTAAAGTAATATTTATCTTACCAAAGTTCCTCTTACCTTAAATCAGCTTTTTAAGAATTACTCTTTTTGCAAAAAGTAGTTATTCTTTAATCAAATTTTCTCAGTATAGAAATGTAGGTAACTCTCGCTAGATAAAATTTTTGAAAAAAAAAGAAACAGAGTTTTACCTCTCTAATTTCGCATATTCCGTATGTTCACTATGTTCGCTGACCATACTCTGGCTGGCTGATTTTGATAAACCGCTGTGGTGTGATAATGACATTGAGCCATCTGTGGTAAAATTGGTAAAATGGTTAATTTGTGTCTGTTCCTCGACGGACGGAATATGCCCGAAACGATTTCGGACCGACGAAAACGATGACCGCCACTCTTTGGTGGATCTGGACATATCGTTGTCGCTATAGAGTGTGCTGTCAAGCACGGCGTCAAGACTGGAGAGGTCAATTGACGGTGACTTGGAATCAAGATAGGCGTTAATATTTGCTGCTTTGCTGGAACTGTGGTCGTAGTTTCGCCGAATTGGCGATAAACGTTCCTCGTAGAAGGACCTATTGTATCGTGTATCCTTCGACGGTTGATCTAGTGGACCGTAAAATGAAGCGTAATAAGTTGAGCTGTCGCTGTAAAATAATCAGTTTAAAATTGATCAACAAAACAAAAGAAAAAAA